TATTGAGCCTCTTTTAAGTGCAAAATACTACAATGCTTGTAAGAGTGAGTAATGGTTTGTCCTACCATCAATGAGTGTACAGTATGAACAGAGAAGAGGGATGATGATAGCAGACAAATAATGTGTTTATAAGAGTAGATAATTATGATGAAATAATTTCTTTAAGAACCAGTGATTCAAAAGATGGAAAGATTTTGTTCCATTGGGGTAAAGAGATAAACGTAATATTTTCTTCAGTTTATTTGTGTTGATGTTGCAAATATCCGCAGAACATACTCCAATTTCTCTGTACAGTTCCACGACATTTGTTATATTCTTTAAGTTGTGCACTCATTCTCACTTCACTCTCCTTTCCTGAATTGTGTCTTCTCCATTAACACAAACTCACTGCTCTCTAAGCTTCTTAAGAGAGAGGCTTCTAGAAAGAAGTGGCATTTGACGTAAACTTTGGATGCTAGGTAGACTGGATGCCCATAGAAGAAGTTAGAGAGAAAGACATTCCCAGTATAAGGAATGGCAAGAGCAAAAGCTTAGTTAAAAATAAAAAGATGCTTATTTATTTAGTCATTTGTTATATAACACTTTTATAAAAATGTTTAGCTTTGCAGTTCCTGACCCCTCGATGCCTGACCCTTCCAAGCAACCAAAGAACCAGCTTAATCCTATTGGTTCATTACAGGTAAGTTATACAGTTTTTCTGTACTTTACATTTTGTCTTTGGATAAAAGATGTAATATATTGATGACATCACAGGGGCTAAGACTTGGAATTGGTATTTTAAAGATATGATGATGAAACGTTTTATTTTCCAAATTACAATCATTATGTGTTACAGATGTTGAAATTATTTTTCTATTTATTTCCATTTTGGATTTTCAACCATATACAATATCTGCCTTTGGCTTGTGGAGTTATTTGCTTATTTTATATATATTTATTCAGCTTTGAATTTCTGCATGCAGAATATCTTTGTTGTAGATTACCCATTTGCTCTGTTGGGCAGCTGCCTTTGCTGTTATCCAGCCAGTCCTTTGGTCTCTCTCTTCTGCTCTGTGAGGTTTTCTTTACCTTTTTCCTCACCTTCATCCAGGTGTTTGTTTGTTTGCTGTGTCTGTGCCTCTTCTGCTTTTGGTGAAATGCAGTAATTAGCTAGCTGTGGGTATGGAAGGGAGAACTGAGGATAGTGACACCTGGAGATGTACTCTCAGGTGTTCCTGAAGAGGATGACAGTAGCCTGTCTTTTTACTTGAGCTCTATGATCTCAACTAACTTTGGTTTAATGGATGCCTTTAGCTGGGTTCTCTAGAGAAGCAAAACCAGTGAAGCTTATGTATGTGTGTAAAGAGAGGTTTATATCAAGAAAATGACTCACACAGTTGTAGAGGTTGGCAAGCCCCAAGACCATTGGTCTGATGTAGAGTTGGAAGCTTCTGACTCATGTAGCAGCAGTACTGATGAACCAAGATCAGCAGGTCAGGTGGCAGGCAGGTAAGATAGCTGACTGCTGACAACTCTCAGGATTGGCAGGCTACTGGTTCAAGTCCAAACAACCAGAAGTCAAATGACAAGCCAGGTGCAGGAGAAAGCAAACTTTGAGTGTTTAGTATATTGGAAGCAGGCTACATCCCCAAGAAAATGGCCTTTGAATTGATTGGCTGCTCATAGTAGATCTCATCATTGGGAATTACTATGTCTTAACTGCCAAACCAATGAGAATCCTAGCCTTAACCATTGAGATGGAAGAACGCCATTGTTCACTTTTGGTACTTCAGGCTTATAAAATATAAAAAGTGTTGGAATATCTATGGGAACTATAGGGTCTTCCCTCATTGTATAATGTTGTTCTTTTCAAATATAGAAATGCAATCAAAATCACAAAAAGTATTGGTTTTGTATTTGAGTCATTGCATAGTTACTATTAAAGCCTTATCTTGCTCTTAGGAATTGGCTATTCATCGTGGCTGGAGACTTCCTGAGTATACCCTTTCCCAAGAGGGAGGACCTGTACATAAGAGAGAATATACCACAATCTGCAGGCTAGAGTCATTTATGGAAACTGGTACTTATTTTTTCACCGTCATATAGTTAAAAGACGTTTGAAATGTTTTCAAATGGTAAATGCCTGTAGAAATTTCTGTTGTAATAACTTTTCAAATAATTCTATAGAAGAAAAATTTATATGCTCCTGTTTTATGTCTATAGCATTTTGAGTTGAATTTAAGAATAAATATTATA